AATTTCAAACTTTTGCTGGTTAGAATTTTCAAAATATGTTCCTGAGGGGTAACTAAATACCAAAGACAACAAGACCAGAGACAAGTGTGTGAACCAGAACACCGTTTGGGAAAGTACAAGTGGCAGTCACCTTGTCAAGACAGAAAGTTGGTCTTTACCAAGCAGACATAGATCCAAAAAAAAAAAAAAAAAAAAACTGCTCAGAGCTGCCTGGGATGTTGTAGTTTCTTTGTAATGGAGAAAAATAAAGAGGCCCAGGGCTTCCTAGGATAAGGTGGCATTTTGTGCTGGCATCCGGACTCCCAGCCCTTGCCCTTGTCCCAGGTGTAGGGCATTCCATCCACAGTGCCCTTTCCACATGCTGTCTCCAAATCTACACAGCTGGCTATCTGCAGTGCACATTCCTGAAGAGAAAAAAAAGGGAAAAAAATCTACCAAGTCACATGGGAAAGTCTTGATAACAGGGTCAGTCCGCAAACCTTGACGAGGGATTTAAAGAAACCTAGTTCTATTTACGGAATTTCTTTCTTGGTTTTTTTTGAGACAATGTCACTATGCAGTTCAGGGAGGCCTTGGACACCCTCTGTAGCCCAGGCTGGTTTCAAACTCCCAGTGATCTCCTGCCTCAGCCACACTCAGCCTCTGGGAGTCCTGGGATTAAAGGAGTGCATCACCACACCCTTCTTATTTGCTGAATTTCAAACATTCATCAGGCTCCCTAAACCAGTTCCCAGATTTAGGTATTAATTGTAATTCTGTGCAGGTCAGTGATCAGATATAAAAATGTTTCACGATTTAAAAGCAGAAAACCTAACTAGCTTTCCTACGTCATTGGATAGATATTGTCAGGGCACCTAGTACTGAGCCAGGCGTGCGAGGGCCCTGGCTCTCAGACCCACTGTACACTGGAATCCGGTGGGAAACTTTAAAACACTGACTACATGGGGAATATGGCCTAGGCATCAGTTATTTTAATAAAGATGGTAAGTCTAATATACAATAAACTTTGAGAATCACTGTAGGAAACAAATATAAAAAGTGGAGAGAACTTTAATGCCCATCAACTGATGATGAGTAGATAAAGTATGGCTTATTCAGATAATGAAATATTCTTCAGCAATTAGTAAGATTTTTTTTTTTTTTTTGGTCTTTTTCGCTTTTATAGGTACCAGGGATCGAACTCACGACTGCCTGCTTAAATCCCCAGCCCCAATTAGTAAGATTTTTAAAGGCCATTAAAGTGAACTTTCCAAGTAATAGAGAAAAATAAAAGATGTGCACAAAGTGACCTGACATTCTTTTACCTACTTTTCAGAGGTGGATCCTGTTGGCCTTGCACTGACACTACAGGCCCCCAAGTCACAATCTCCATGCATATGAAAAAGGAATGACTACTCTGTACTGCCAAGGAGTTCCTACCAGTTTTCAGAATGCAGGCTGCTGGTGGACCGTAAAGACACACAGGGTCAGAAGGGTCTCTCAAAGACGACTGGGAGCTCTAGGTCCTACTTAGGTCCTGCATTTGCTTTCATTACTAGCACAGTCTGGGGCTAATAAATTCATTACTAGCACAGTCTGGGGCTAATAAATAGGAAGCTTTCAGTACCCGAGTGTTATAGTACATATGCTGTAAAAACGACCCGTTAAAAATGCTTCCTGCCCTCACAGTTCTTAAAATTCTTAATGCAAAGTAACTAAAAGGTGCTCACTGTGGTAAGGGCTGAACCATAGTAAAGCCCCAATTTTAGCTCAGGATGTTTTTTGTCTTTTTGAGATAGGGTCTCACTGTGCAGTTCAGGCTGGCCTTGAGCTCACTTTGTAGCTCAGGGTTAGTCTCAAACTCACAGCAATCCTTCTACCTCAGCCTTCCCAGTGCTGTAGGGCAAGAATATAAGTGTCTTGTTTTTTGTTGGGAGAAATTAGTACAGTACCTTTTCCAATGTTTCAACATTTCTGAGAATGTAAATATTATGTATTTGAACATGTTTGTGTTTTCATTTCTAGAAAACATACTATCAATTGAAGTCTTGATCTATACCAGTAGTGGTGAACCTACAGCACACACGCTATTGCGTTTTTCTTTTCAGAAAAAAGATGTTTTCTAAACTAAAACCTCAGTGCTCAGGTTGAATTGCAGTGTTGGCACTTTGTAATGAGTTTTGGGTTGCAGTTTGGGGCACTTGGTCTTTGAAAGGGTCACCATCACTGGCCTATACCTTATTGACACTTACTTATTTACAGTGAACTTAAATACTTTCTGACATGTAGGTGAATTACTACAGCTAGTAAACACGTCTCCTCTACCCTGGTGTTCTGCAGATCTCGGTCAACTTTCAGAAGTGGCAGGGCCAGCTAATTAAATGCCAACTTTAGGCAAATCAGTTCCTAAAAGTTCTGTAGCATATTTAATTCAGACAAATTAGATAATAAATCTGAAAATAACAACAATAAGGACTAAGAAATAACAGACTTTTTTTTTTGTAAACATACTTTTCTCAAAGCTCCAAGTAAACTTCAACTGGTTAGACTTACGTTTGCTTCAATTTAGAAACGTCAAAATGGAGTATTAGGGTTAAATGTGAACCAAGAGATTTCTGCCAGCTGTTTTCAACTCAGACTCTCCTCCGTCTTCTATACCTTCCTTCAGCCCAGTTTAACCCTGCCCCTCATATTCCTTCTTCACCATCTCCTTGCTAGCAAACTGATTTCTGATCACTAATTCAAAAATAAAGAGCCAATGGAATAGGAGAACATACCAAATCAGACTCCAGGAGCTGTGAGATTTCATTAAGAAAAAAGAATAACAGGGAAAATGTGGGGCTAAATCTTGAACACTAATGAGAAGCGGTCCTATCTCTAAACTGAAACCCACCTTGGTCTCTGTGTGGAGGGGGCACAGCAAATCCAAGGATGGCCTCTACTCACCCTTCCTGTTGTTCAGCAGGGTCCACGCCCCCTCACAGCAACAGGCTAATAAATACCCCAGCAAGCTGGAAAGGTACAGACACTCGTCTTTTTAATTCTTAAGTCCCCTCCCCATTTTCTTCATTCTATCCAATTGTTAAAAGTGAGCTTTTCCTCCTACTTAAAGTTTAACTAGTCTTGTCCAGTTTGGAAGTGGTAATTCTTGAGCCCCCAGGCTCAGATTACTTACATTTGGATCCTACCTCTGCCACTCAACAGTTGGGTCACCTTGTAGGGCTTTTGGCCTCTCTCACTGCCTCACTCCTAACCTGGAAACAGCAGGTAATAGTATTTCACAGGGGTTGCTGTGAAATTATGCACACAAGGCAATTATATTGCCTGGTACTCAATAATTTCTTCTTCTTTTTTTTTTTTATCGGTACCAGGGATCGAACTCATGACGGCCTGCTTGCAAGGCAGGTGCTTAGGCCGATGAGCTAAATCCCCAAGCCCTGTATCCAATAATTTATCTTTTATCATCACCTTATTGCCAGATTCTTCCTCAATGCTAAAAAATTATATCGAGATCAAGGAAAATTGAAGAGGAAATATTACTTATACAAATGTATCCAGTACAGGCACTGAGAAAACAAAATGTGCCGACAGTCCACGGCTCCTTTTCTCGAGCAACTTTGTCACAGATAAATTACCCTGAGTAAAAATAAAAAATATTAAGAAAAACTATGCATTTTGGTATCATCTCTTCTTAGTAACCCTGAGGACAGAGGTTTTTGTTTCCCCAGCAGTTTTTAAAGACACAAGTTAACAAGGAGAAATCTCAAAATGACCCAAGTTATTTACAGAACCTGATGTGAGCTGTTCATTCATCCTTCCACACGCTGCTTCCTCAGTGTCTCAGGAGCTTTCCCATAGATCTAAAAAATCTAAAAAGTCAGGTTGTTCTTGCTTCACATTCACTCAAGAGATTAGATGTGTCCTGTTTTGTTTGACTTTTAAAAATAATCTTATCAGTCTAGTCCCAGATCAACTTCATCCTTCATCCAGTAAAGTACTGTACTTTATCTCTCCACGACACCCCTGGAAAGCGAAATAATGGATGGTGCTTTCCACCTGAGGGGGACTCCAATCTGACGCTCTCCTTACTACTTCAAACTAACCCTCTGCACACCATAAAAGCCTGTATCTCGGTACCTCTTCACACCTGAGAGTTTATTTTGACCTGCTGTTCGCATCTTTGAGTCTTCAAATCTTCCTGGACTACACACAGATCATGATTTTAATATGAATCACAATTATAGACACAAAATTGATTTTAAGTTTTACTCCATTTTTTTTAGTCGTCAAATATGCAAACTGATGCCTAATTACAAAGGTGGAAAACTGGTTATATTTATCAAATATAAATGAAAACCGCAACATTTAAGAGGAAGCAGTTCATGTTTTTTATGCACTTTTATATAAAGAATGCTGTATTACATAATAGAGAAAAAATCTAAAAGTGTAGCTTCATTTATATTATATATCCTTTAGTTAAACAAGCATTCCTATGGATTACTACTGAACAGCTAAAAATTTTAAAAACATTTTTTTTTGTACTAATGAGAACCAGAATAGAATTCTAGTCATTTCTGGAGAAAAGTTCAGGAAAAATGAGGAAGAAAAGTACAAGTAATACATTGTCAGTAATTAAAACCTTACACTAGATCTTTAGAATCAGTTACATTTAAAACTATATACCTTTTTACGGTCATTATCAAATTACAAATTTCCCTGAACTTTTAAAAACCCAGCTACAAAATAAAATTGGTGATGTAAATATCTACTTTAAAAGTCCCTATAAAGTGAAACTTTAGTTTTATACATTTCACAAAATGTATTAGGAAACTGTCAGAAACTCAAAGGTCCCACCCCCTGCCCTTACAAGGAAGACTACATGGTAAGAAACTGAGGAGTTAAATTCTCAAACAGAAAAGGAAGAATATATAAAGGACCCAAGGGGAAAATAACTGAAAGCAAAAAAATTCAGGAATACTCTAAAAGCGGTAAAAATTCTAATCTACACTCGCAACTCTTACCCTTGACAGCACAGCACAGAGTTTCCTGCCTTATACATTTTGAACTTGCAATTCTGAAACGCTAAATCCAAAGACAAAGCCGCCCTGGGGAAAATAACAATTGCGCAACAGATCAACAGCTCCAACTTGTCCCTTGGCCCCAGCGCGGGGAGGCTCGCACGCTATAAGCAGGAAAGGGCCAACTGAGGGCGGCCGTGACAGCCAACCGGCCGCTGTCACCGAGGCCAAGGCCAGACATGCGGCGCGCCACCGGGAGGCAAGTGCTGTAGTAATCGGCAGCCCCGGGCGTGCCCGACTCCGATCTCAAGTCCTCAGTGTGGTCCGCACTCCAGGCGGCAGGTACGGGCCCGACCCCAGGAGCGCGCGGAGCTCAGCCGGCGCCGCACGTCGAGGCGTCAGAGCGCACGGAGCGCTCCGAGACTTTCTCCCCCGCCCCCGGGGCGCCGGCTCCGCGGGATCAGAGCGCGATCCGTAGGACTCGCCGGTCTCGGCACAGCGCGCCCACAGACGGCCGGCAGGGAGAGCGCGCGGCCCAGCAGCTCGCGCCCGCGGAGACCCAGGGCCAGGCGCGCGGGGCGGGGGCTGCGGGTCTCGGAGCGCAGTGAGCCTCAACTCCCCCGAGAGCGGCCCCGTGACTAGGCACATTTTTGCCGGCTCCGAGGCTTGGGTGCCGCGCAGCCCCGGAAAGGGCCGGCCTGCGCCGGCTCAGACAGCGGCGTCCGCCCCCTCTGGCCCCGCCGCCCCGGGGCCGCTCCGACTCGGAGTCGGCGGGCCGAGAGCCGCTTCCACGCCCCAGGCCGGCGCGGGGCCCAGCTCTCCCCGTACATCCCCAGGGCGCCCTCGGGACCCGAGGCCGCGCCGACTGAGGGTCGGGCCGCCAGGACGCGCGCTCGCCGCCCGCGCCGTCCCGACAGTCCGCGCTGTTCCTCCCGGCCCGCCCGCCGGCGCCGCTCCGGGCCGCGGTCCCCTCACCCCTGCCCACGTCCGGCACCACCGCGCGCCCGCAGGACCGGGCAGCACCTGCTGGGACGGCAGTCCCGGCGGCGACAGCTCCAGGTCCATCATGCTGAGCTGGCGGTCGTGGCTGGGCTCCCCGACGGCGACCCTGTCCCGCCTGTCTGTTTGCCGAGGCCCCGGCGACACAGCGGGACTGCTGCGGCGGCGCCGGCTCCTCCGGATCCCCGGGTCTAGTAGTTCGGCCGCCCGCGCCGAGTCGCCGGCCAGGCTCCGGGCCGCCCCGCCTCGGCCCCGGGGGCGTGGTCAGCCCTGGCCCCGCCCCCTCGGGCCGCCCGGCCGGGCTCCCAGGAGCCGCCGCCCACGCGTCCGCTCAGCTGACGCAAGGAGCCCGCGGTCTCGGGGCGCGGGTGCGACGGGCTGGGGCTCCGAGGGCGGGGCTGCCCCCCAGAGCTGACCCTCGGCTCCCGAGCCCAGCGCTCGGCTCGCCCCCCTTCGCCTAGCGGGGGAGATTAGGAGTTGTTTGCCGAAGGCCGCTCGGCCCGGGCCCTTTGCAACAGTTTAAACAGTTGGAGCAAACAGCCCGCAGAGCCGGCGGGGCGCCGGTGGGGAGCTGCGCCTCCCGGTTGGGACCGGTGGAGCCTCGCCTGCTTTATCTCATTCCCTGGCGCAGAACGGCGCCAGCCGGGGGCCGCAGAGGCAGGGGCGAGGCCCGGGACCCAGGCGGTGCGAGTCGCCTGCTGCCCTCGGGCCCCTGGGCCCCTCTGGAGCTGGAGCGGGAGGGCGCTGGCCCCCACCCCAGGGACCCGGGCCACGCCGGAGCTCGTGCTCGCCGTTACCCCGAGCGCCCTCTGGCCACGCCCGGCCACGGGACCGAGCGGAGCTGCGCTTCCAGTCCCCGGCGACCTTCCCAGCCCGCAGTGGTTATGAATGTCCTCATGTCCGCGTACTCGAGACACAGTAGAAAAGAACACGGTCCAAAGTGATCTGTGTAGGATGGGCCCGCTTTGTAAAGACGTCGAGGGAAAAAATTGGATGGCATCTAATGTATGAATAGTTATAAAATGGTGAATGATTTTTATCTTCTTGTGACTTTATGTCTTAAATTTACAGTGAATATTTCATCTTTTAAAACATTTAAAAATCGTTTCTACCAGTTGCAGGGTGAGGGCGATTTTGTAGGGGTGTGTGTGTGTGTAACATATACAAATTTTAAAAAATCATTGCCTATAGAAAACTTCAAGTATTTGAGAGCAGGAATATTTTGAATTTAGAACTAATTTAAAAAGAATAGATGAGGTTTTTTGTAATGCATCAACAAACTCTCTAGCAAACCTACTGTGCATTTTCAGACTTAATTGAAATTATTCAAATCCTGGTGAGACAGATAATACCAAGCAGTGGTTTTACTATTTCATTCTAAAACCAGGATATGAGGGTGCCTGGTTAGAGCAGATCAACATCCCAACTGAAAAAAAAAATTACTTTCTCTTGGTTGCATAACTTGATACTCCCAAGATTTGTGTGTAAATTTATATGTTCAAGTATTCTTTGAAATAAGTGAAGCCTAAATTAATTTCTTGTAATTGAAGCAAGCTTATTCAACTTGAATTAAACCTTTTCACCTGTTAAGTGAGACTTCTGAAAAATGATCTGACTCTGAAAACAAGCCTGGGGGAAATTTACAAAGAACCTTACACCAAAGAAGCAGAGACATATGAAATGGTCTTTCTATCAAAGGAGACTAGTGTAAAGTTAACAATTCAGGTTACTTATTAAAACTACTACTTCACAATAGGTAGACAATGATCCCAAAGTCCTTTCTGAACAACATAGTTAATGCTCTGGAGTTTGTAAAGCATTTTTTATTTCCTTGTTAAGTAACAAAGTTTCCAGAGGGTTTAGATTGAATTACTTTTACAAAACTACAGTTTGCTGGGAGTAGTATTATTTCAGGCACCTCAGAGTGCATATTTCCAGAGGGAGGAGAGCAATATGATAAGAGTCTAAACACGTTAAAGAAAGGAAAAATAAGCACTAAAGGAAAGCTGTTCAGTCTTGAATGGTGGTTCAGGACAAGAAAAAAGGACACCTGCCTCAGACCACCCATGTCAAAGAATCTGTGCACGCCCAGAATTGCTGCTTGCTCCGGTGAGAGCCCCAGCCCTTGCCTTGCTCTCTAAACTTGCACGTGGGGCTGTAGGGGTGCAGGGACTGTGTGCCATGAAGTACCAGAGGAGAGGGAACTAGGCGGTACTGATCCTGCTGTCCTCTTTCAGTGGCAGGGGAGCTCACTTACCTACCTTTTTTCACCCTAGTTGGTTTCACTGACCTTTGCATATTTTCATGAATATCCATAGTTATTGCCCCCTTTAAAAAGACAGCCCTCCGTGTGTTTGAGGTGTGTCAGAATTGTGATGCTTGGTGCCAGCATCTCACAAAAACAGGCCTCTTCCAGGAATCCTTGAGTGCACATAGTTTGAGAAAACAGTGATGCATTGATTCATTGTTCCACTTTTCTTGCACTAATCTGTCAAGCTGCAAGACCCAAGAAAATACCGACTATTTCAAAATCCTCCCCCTCTTCCAGGCTTCTTCCTCTTCTACCACTTCCTCTCACTTATTATATACCATGCTGCAGCTAGTAAATATTCATACTTTTGGAATTCGTTCAGCATACAGGGTAGCAAGTTTGCAAAAATGAACCATCTACCAGATGCTGAAGCCCATGTGTAATCCCCTCCCATTGGGTCAAGGTTGGCCTGAGACTTAGTGCAGAAGGACGGAAATGCCCTGATGTCAGGTTGCAGCCTAAGCCTGAATGGCTTTCAGTTGCATAATTTTGGAAGTGAACTATCATGTTAAAAATCTGACTACCTTGATGGAAAGCAAAGCCATATAATGATGAAACTTAAATAGAGAGAGGGGCTTTGTAAACTCAGACACCAGATGTGTAAATGAAGAGACCATCTTGGATGGTCAAACCCCAGAGGACTTCAGCCCAGCTGCCACCAGACTGCAAGCACAGAATAGAAATTGCAAACCAGACAGTATAAAACTGCCCGGCAGAGCCCAGTCACCCAAAGAACTGTGAGAGATTATGATTAATAAATGATGTTTATAATTTGGAGGTGGTTTGTTTCACAGCAGTAGATAACCAAAATATCATCGATTGAATATCAGAAGTGAAGTGATTCCTGGCTTTTTTGTTTGTTAACCACCACTGAGCATCCCAATGACAATACTTTGTGATTTAATAGTCTCAGACCCTGTGAGTCAATTCTTTCTTCAGAAAAGATGGGTACATTTAGGGTGGTATGGCCATAGACAGTTATTCTTTTTTTCGAAGGGAGGAGAGCAATATAAGAAATGAGGATATATTTTTCTTACAATATATATAGTACTCATTGCCACGCTTTTATGCCATTAGATAGATGATGGTGAGACAGTGTCCTTACTCAAGGAACCTAAAGAGCACAGGCATTTCCTCAGTTACGTAGATGGTGGTATAAATGCACACTGACCCCAGCATGACCTCATTTATACCAGTTATACAAGATGCTGGCTGAAGAACTGAGGAGGGAATTTGAGATTAAACAGCAGCCTGCCCGGTGGATACATTGAACTCCAGTACAACAGTGTTCAAAATATTTGGTGTGTTAAGTTAAAAAAACCCATAACCTTGGTTCCCTGGTTTGCACACCTCGCTATGTGAACGAGAGCTACCAAGAGCTGTTTATAAGCACAAAGCCAGTTTCAGCATAAGAGGTTTCCTGTGCACAACAGGCTCAGTGCCTGGAGGAACAGCAGCAGCGTAATGAGTCAAGAAGCAGGTTTAAAAGAGTTCTATTACAAGCATTGATAGCAACAAAAATATGTATGGATAAGAAGCATACTGAAAGTATACACTCCAAAATGTTAGCTATTACTCGTTACTTAGAGATTTGATTTTGTCTCACTTTTGCCTGTCTGTATTTTATAAATAAACATTTATTACTTTTAGAAGAAGGAGGAAGCAGAAGAGGAGTCAAAGAAGAAGAGAAAGAAAAAGTGAGGTGAAGTGTGAGCTGAGGGGTACACTGACTTTTCTCCGAAGCCTCTGGGTCTATTTTATTTTCAAATTGAATTTTATCTGGGCATGGTGCTGTCCACCTGTAATCCCAACACTTGGGAAGCTGAGGCAGGAGGATTGCCTCGAGTTTGAGGCCAGCTTGGGCTACAAACCAAGGTCCTGTCTCAAAAAAACTAATAAACAAAGGCCAAGGATTAGCTCAGCGGTGTAAGCGCCTGCCTGGCAAGCGCTAGATTGTGAGTTTGATTTCTGGCACCGCCCCTCCGCCCCCAAAAAAACCCAATACACAAGCAAACAAACGAAAAACCAAACTGAGTTTTAACCACAAGTTTTGCAAACCTTCCCATCTGTGTTTACTTGAGTGGAGCCTGGAGAATTCTACCACATCTTTAACTGTGGTTGTGGAAAGGGTCCAAACATCCTTTTCTCTTTGAATTTGCTGCCGCATTTGCAAAGTTTCCCCCAGCAGAATGGGAGTTTGCAGAAAAAGGTGGAATTTTATGAGAGAATAAGAATTGCAGCTTTGAGGGGCAAAGTTGCCCATCTACGTATAACACTGCTGGTTAAGAAAAATAAGCAAAATACATAAACACACTTAGGCCTAGAGCTGTGTTGGCAGGGCAGATTTGAAATATCAGTGATAGGGGTAAGGATATGAAATACTTTCAATGTCATCTTTGTAGTTGTCTGTACTGTTTTTTATAGAAACTTTGGGTTGGGGAAAATAAACTTTTTAGGGATACAATGAATGGAAATGAAGAGCAAATTCATAAACAGGCCTTACAGATAAAATATGTAACATTCTAGAAGCATGGAAAGTGAAAAGGGAAAGTGAGGTTTGCTAAGGTATTTGTCTTCTGACTTTTTTTTATGTTTTATTACATAC